TACTAGCGTGATGCAGTTAGTAGCTTGATATAATCAGTTGGCCAGCAAAATATTAATTCTTAATTGTTTTTATTTTCTGTTCATCGATTAATTTCAGTTCCTCTACATACTCATACTATGCTTTGTCACAAAAGTATGCGATTTCTTATTTGTACAATAGGCCTCGGTATACAGGCTCGTCTGTGTCAAACAGCCGGAAATATTTAACAAGAAGAAGAGCTTTGATCAAATTTCCTTTCCAACGAAGTGTCTGTTACTGATGACGGAATTACAAGAATATGAGAAGACTAGTCTTTTTTCAACCAAACTCGACAAGCAAATATATTATAATTATAACTAAGTCTCATGCTTGTACTTTTGGAGTGAAAGTGAAATGCCATGAGTTATTCCTTGCAAAATAATCCCGTGAAATAATAATTGATCACACGGAGTCATGATATAACACACATTCACGTGAATTTACAATCGAAACATGTAGCCAAAACAAGTAGATTTATGAATCTGAGAGTAACAACATAGCGGTTAATGAATTGCTAATTGCCAAATGCAAACTAGCTGTATTTCAATGTTATAGTGTTGATCACACTCATTGCTTATCTTTGAGCCCAGGTGCAACAACTTTACGAGAAAATCGCTCAAAGGGTAAACCTAAATTAATAGGTTGCCAGCTCGGAGTATAAAGAAGTGTCCAGTTTTGCCTAATCTGTCAACAAGCAGATAGATAGTCTCATAGAACTATGCAAAATTCTGGAAGTAAAATATAATTAGGATGGATGGTTTCGGTGTAGATTATCTGCTTCATGAAACATTCAATTTTACTGCCTTGACGATCGTATACAGGCAATGAAATTCAATTTAATCTGTCCATTTGTCCATGTTTATGTTCTAAACTAAGTTTGCCTCGGTCGAAAGTAGGAATAAAAACTACTTCGAGGAAGGCACCAAAGTTAGAAGTTACTCTTGGTCAAATAAAAAGAAGTTTGTTATGGTTAAAAATGGTAAAGATTGCATCCCAAACTAGCCTGACTCAGACGACTGCAAGCCAGACACTGTTGAACAGAGAAGTAATAGAGCAATATAAAACCACAGCGTAAAGTATTAATAATTTATCATAATGTGAGTTTTAACAACAATATACACATTTCTTCAATTAAGCAAAGATGGAAACGCTATCCGTTAGAGTGAAGGAGTTTGTACTTTGAAAATGGACAGCTTGATGTTCCCATCCAACTTATATACAGCCGGATTGTAGATGATGATAAAAGATCGCGACAGCATCAAATCGTGATTCAATAACCGTATTTGGACGCAAGAAAGAGTGAGCTTCAATGCAAAATCTGGTACAGAATTGTTATAATTTATGGTAAATCACACGAAAATAGCATAGATCGACAATAGTCAGATTCTTGTAATCAACATTCCCGGTTCAAATCCCTTCGGCGTTATGCGAGAATTGAAAATATAGTTTAGTCCTGTTGAAAAATGACCATGTTGTATTATATGATGCGATGCATTTGAATGCGAGATCAAGTAATTTATTCACTTTATCGTGAACAGAAAATGTCGCATCCTGACAAAAAAAATATTTTCCATTTCTGAGAACAATGTGATTGTCCCAACTCCAATTTCAACTTTAGTTCAGATTAGTTATCAGATTTGTGACAGCTACATGACAGCGTAACGACAGAAGATAATTGTATAATTTAAGGGTAAACTAGATAAAAGATTTTTATTTTATTTTGTAGGATAATTTGATGATTAAATTTAAATTTAAGCATAACTCGTGTGTGTATGTGTGTGTGTGATGGACAAATACCCACCTTTTGGTTTGACAACAACCCTTTTGGTTCACGGCATACTCGGTGGTGACGGTAATCTTGTGTTCTTCGTCCTTCTGTACGGCTTCATCTTCACTTGAGTGCCCACTTCTGCCACCTGAGGCTGGAAGTAGAGCTTCTTCTGTTCTGTCACTGGAATTTTTGCCAGTCGGCGTCACCGATGCCAGTCGGCCAGTCACACCAACAGGCTCTCGGTGCTCAGCAGGCGGTGGCGGAGAGTTTCGGCCGATTGGACGACAAGAGGAGACGTATTGACGGTCGGGTTGATGGCTACAGCCGGCGCAGCTCACTTTCCGATGCTGCGCGAGGATGCGGCAGGTGTCACGATGCAAGATTTCCTCCGATACCCCACCATTCCCGCTTTCCCTCCTCTCGTTGCCAGACGTACCAGCCATCCGCAGATGCACGATCACTTTGGTGATGTTTCGCTGGCTAGAACGACGGTCACAGGGGTGCACAACTTCAAAGTGGCCAAGTGGACAGACTGTAGAATGATGAGATTAGGCAAAGAGGTGTTACGGAAAACGGGAAAAAGTATGTTAATCTGTCGGTAAAATGCTATGGGCAAGGGAATTTGCTTGGTTAATTATGAAGAGAATTTAAGATTTGCTTAATCTTAGCCGTCACCTGTTCTAAAGTGGAATGTGACCAATTAAGTCGGGATAAGAGAAGACCTTAAGCAGCATTCTATTCACATGTGTGGTAGGGACATTTCGCAACCATAGTCATTTGCAGTAAAATCGAATTTTAGGCTTATTTTTAGAGGATTCTTTAAGCCAATAATGAATACTTCTTGCAAGAAATGGGTATACTTTCGTGTTGTCTTGAAAGGAGTTGAGAAGAAATTGGCCAATTCTCTTTAATCGGAAACCAAATGAAGGTCGTCTTGACGTGATTGTTACTTTGAGCATGGAAGTCCTGCTAATCATTTAAATTGGTTTATATCATTCATCTGTTCCGTTGTGACACACAAGCACAAAATTCGATAAGAAAATTTCACCGAGTATAATACCTCTTATAATCCATTAAATGCGGCAGTCAATGTTTGATTTAGTGATTCCATCCACCTTTAAAAATGAAATAAAATGAATAAAAACATAAATATGTCTATCTATATACGGAGCCCTAGGTCGAGTCTCTGAAGGTGCCTTGTTTAAGAAATACAGTTTTCTGTTTTAATCCCTAAACATATGTTATTATGGTCTACTCTATTAGTGATAGCATAAATATTAATAAATATATATATATATATATATATGCCTATAAATAGCTGTCCAAAATTTAATTGCAGTGACGAGCAAGAGATTT